AATTCGGGACTTAAATACGGATTTGATGCACGAGAAAATAGTGCATATTGGACGTGAAGGGAGCAAGTTGTACGTGGGGAAAAAAACGCGCCTGATTTAAATGTCACACCTGAACGCTCACATCCTTTTAATTATGTTTGAAATTATGAACATTGCTCAACATCATGAAAAATTAAACCTTATTTTCAATAAGCAATCCTGAAAAAATATTTGGGGGTGCTTAACTTTTTTCCAGATGTATACATAGGGTGGAAATTCGCAGGCCTAAAACTGTCTCTGCTAGTAATGTTTCATGCGTACCTGACAAATTGAAAAACGGACACTTATAAATAAAGTGATATACCGATAAAATCACACAAACTCTCGTATATGAGACTATTTTATGTGAATGAGTTTACTAAGTTGTTAAATATTTTTACTTACTTAGAAATCATAATGTGCGACGAAGACATTGCTGCCCTTGTTATTGACAATGGTTCCGGAATGTGCAAAGCTGGCTTTTCCGGAGATGACGCTCCTCGTGCCGTGTTTCCTTCCATCGTTGGTCGTCCACGCCACCAGGTATGTTATGTTTTTCTAACGTTTTAGCATATTTATAATATTGCTACACGTTATTAAAATGAAGTAAACTTATCTCTATCAATCAAATATGTGAAATACCACACTCGAGTTTCTCACAAGTTCTTATATTTCAAAATACCGTTTAGGGCGTGATGGTTGGTATGGGACAGAAGGACAGCTATGTCGGTGATGAGGCCCAAAGTAAAAGAGGTATCCTAACCCTGAAGTACCCCATAGAACATGGTATCGTCACTAATTGGGATGATATGGAGAAGATCTGGCACCATACCTTCTACAACGAACTTCGTGTGGCCCCTGAAGAGCACCCTGTTCTTCTAACTGAAGCACCCCTTAACCCTAAACTGAACAGAGAAAAAATGACCCAGGTTTGTAGCAAAAATACAAACTAAAAGTTAAAAGATGGAATTTAAGGAACACAAATACCGAATGATTTTGTATGAGTTACTAAAGCATATAAGATTATTAATAAAACGATAATCTGCTTCTATCTTTCTTCTAAAATAAGGAATATGTCCAAATTATTTCTCCTTCAAAGTAACGTTTAGGCTAAGCGTTTAACAAGGAAACCAAAGTCATGATACTTGTGTACATTAAAATGTAAGCTGTTACTTAATCAATAGAATATGGCACAGCGGTATGTCTGCTGACTTACAACGCTAGAAACCAGGTGGTGGGCAGAGCACAGATAGCTCTTGATTAGCTTTGTGTATAATTGAAAACAAACAAACGATCAATAGAATAAATTCATTTTTACGCGGCTACAAATCATCATTGAGGGGGTGGGGATTTAGTTTGGTTTTAACTTCCAAATATTTCATTTTTGACATACTGATTTTCACAAGTGTCTATTTTTAAACCTTGAAATGTTTATTCCGTCTACAGATTATGTTCGAAACATTCAACACTCCTGCCATGTACGTATCCATCCAGGCTGTGTTAGCCCTCTACGCTTCTGGCAGAACTACGGGTATCGTTATGGATTCTGGTGACGGGGTTACGCACTGTGTTCCAATTTACGAAGGATATGCTCTCCCCCACGCTATTCTTCGATTGGATCTAGCTGGTCGGGACCTCACTGATTATCTGATGAAAATCTTGACCGAGCGTGGATATACATTTACGACAACAGGTTTGTGATTTTTTCTTTCTCTGTTAATATTATCCATTATCAACAGTTTTTTCTTTTTCGTTTGTAATTTGTACATACATATTCATTATCAAAACAAGCCTTAACAACCATAAAAAACTAAAACAAAAATTCTGCGTGAATTTAAAATATCAAAGGCTATAATGTGAAATATAAGATTTTAATCTTTGTTCAACTGTTGAAATAGTGTTTTTGCATATACATATATATATTTGAAATCGAGAATGGAGTCAACTATTTTTGCCATTTTGTTAAGTAACATTCAGGATTAAAGATATAAAAATAAAACAAAATGACTATAGAGAAACATTTTGTGTCATTATATAATCCTTAAACAGCATCTGTTTCGACATTTAAGCCTTACAGAAATTAGCAAAAGCTTTTAAAATATTTGCCAACTATATTTAAACTGTTTTCGTTCAACACGAAATAAAGTTTATTCGGAACTAAATAAAACAATTGTCATAAGTAACTTCTTATTATTTTGTTTTCCAATTCGCTCCACCGATTATGTTAAGATTTTTATTTGTTGGTTGGTTTATTGTTAAGCATGGGCTATTTGTGCTCTACCCACCGTGGGTAGAGAAACCTAATTTTATAAGCCCTCAGACTTACCTCTGTTATGTTAAGACAGTTGAATAAGTATATGGTTTAATGATGCCATCTTCTGCCCAGTTTCTGATGAGGATATATTTCATACTAAATAGAAAGATACTAGAGTATCATCGTAATTCGCTTAGCGACAGCGAAAACTGTTTTTAAATACATAAAATGGTTATAGTATTTTGGCACTCGTGTATGACGTTGAGGATGACGTTGTAACGTCAAAACATGTAGAGTCGTCAACTTTTTGAAGGCCATAGATAGGCCTAAATACAATGTTTTTAATTGTGTACCAGTTTAACGTTGAATATTATTTATGATTTTAACATAAAATGGTTATTGAATAAAATGTATGATTAAAATTACCATTCTATATGCACTTGTCATTTGTTGAATTATAACTATTTATTTTCATTTAATTTGTATGAATGTTCACACGTACTTTTTCCCCCTCCAAAATTGTCAAAAGATAACTGCTTGTTTTGTCCATAGCTGAGCGAGAAATTGTTCGTGACATCAAAGAGAAACTTTGTTACGTCGCTCTAGACATTGATCAAGAGATGAACACAGCTGCCTCCTCATCTTCTTTGGAGAAATCTTACGAGTTGCCTGACGGTCAGGTGATCACCATTGGTAACGAGAGGTTCCGCTGCCCTGAGGCTCTCTTCCAGCCTTCTTTCTTGGGTATGGAGTCTTGTGGTATCCACGAAACCACCTACAATTCCATTATGAAGTGCGATGTTGATATCCGAAAAGACTTATATTCCAACGTTGTTCTGTCTGGTGGTTCCACAATGTATCCTGGCATTGCTGATAGGATGCAAAAAGAAATCATCTCTCTAGCACCCAATACCATGAAGATCAAGATCATCGCTCCTCCTGAGAGGAAGTACTCTGTCTGGATCGGCGGGTCCATCTTGGCTTCTCTGTCTACTTTCCAGCAAATGTGGATCTCCAAACAAGAGTACGACGAGTCTGGTCCCAGCATTGTTCATCGCAAATGCTTTTAAACTAATTCGAAAAGCTATATTATCGAGCATTGTACAGTAATAAATTAAATTAATATTTATTCATCCTAATAAAAACAACAATGAATTTAATGTTTTGTATTTTAGAAATCAAAAAGCGTTCTTATTTTCGGAACTTAAGACTTAAAAAGAAAATATTTTTAACATCCTATATAATGAATACTACACGTAAATTAAAAACGGTTGTATTTTCAGTATATAATATTTAAGAATTTTGTTTATACCATATTGTGATAAATTGTAATAAAATGCAAACACTATAAAAATTGTGAGCATCAATTAAAACCATGCTGGAAATTACGTTAGTTGACAAACATTCAGCTTTTAACACGAGTGCGCATTTTTGGTAATTGACGCCATTGCAGCTAGGCTTAGACGAAGTCACCAAAATGGATTCTTTAACGTTTATAAACTAGGTAAGTTAAGAATGATATGTATAATTTCACGTGGTAAGTAGAGAAAAATGTTAGTGTTGAGTAACAATTATTAACATGTTTGGGTTGTGAGGAGGCCCAAAAGTTTACCTGATCTTTGCCCTATGGACACAATAATAAAGGATAGCCTTTTCGTAAGGTGGCGCCTTTCGATATTGCTCCAATATATTGAAATAATACATGTTATTATCATTTTGATTTATCTCGGATTTTAACTATATCTTTATTAAATAATGTGTCTCATGATAACTCTGAACCTTTTACACCCCTATGTATAATGTACCTTAAGACAAATGACCTCATTAGAAAAATAACCCTCGTACGTCATTTATTTATAGAAAAATTAAATTATCAAACGGAAACAGGAAAGCTAGTAATTAAGACATGACAATGAACTCTACACTACAGGGGTATTGACAAGCTATATGGCGTTAAATAGAGCTTGACCGGATTGATGACGCTTCAAAGTCGTTAAATATATAACGTACTCAACCACAGTAAAAGATGGTCTCGACATTTTTTACATATCTTTTCTTCTGTGACAAATTTTCACCGAATCTAAATTTATAAATAAAGTTCCACAACAGCCAATAAAGAAATAATACTTTTTAATCAGAATTACTAATGTACATAACTTCATTTGTGATTTTCAAAATAATTCATCAGATATAATATCACATTGTAAAAATATAACAATCAGTTTACAGTAAAGATTAATTTTCTGAGCAATCTGTATGTAACTTCTCATATCATGAATTAAATCTCATGTTTTTTAAAAACATACACCTGTTAACAATTTCTATTTAAACCTGAAAATTCACAATTCTATAAAATATCTATATTACAACTAATCACTGCTTCCAGCACCATGAAAGGTAAATTAGTCTTATGTTACAGGGTCAACAAAATGGGGAAAGCTTTTAGGTAACATTTACTGCCGATAGTATACTTACCATACATATATTACTACAAAAATTGTGGTAGTATTTTATCCATTATTCACGAGATTTGCGAAAAATATTAATACACAAAACAACAGATATATAATAGCATATTTATTCGAGTGTTTCCAAGTCGTTATTAACAAGCTTTTCTTTTATCATATAGACACCAATACATACCTTAAATACAGAAAATCAAATGTGAAAATTCCCATAACATGTTTTGTCACAAGTAGTTTACTTTTTTTTTAATGATAATTATCAAAATATATGATGACATAGTTAAAAAATGAATTTTCCGTTTATTAAAGCGTATTTTCAAATTACCTTTATTTTGAAGGAGGAAACTTAAGGAACTTTTTAAATGTTATTTAGCAAAACACACGCTTTGATCATGTTCAATCTCAGATGATACGTCACACCAAACGTCAGCGGCTAATAACTTCAGTCTGATTTAATTAAAAATTGCCTTATCGTAATTTTGAAATATATTTTAATATCATAACAATATCTACCATCAATAAAATTACTTTAATGGCAAGCTTTGCATAACACACACACACACAAAAGGCAAGACTGGGATAAAAATTATTCAATTCAGGGATCATGGGAAATGTTGGATCAGAATTCTCTAGTCTAGTCAAACCACAAGTTTTTTTATAGAAAATAACCGTACTCACTTGAAATTTATGTTTAATACCAGTGCCATAATTACCAAATTGACTATTAATACAGATTCCTACAAAAATAATGAATATTACCTCGATAATGTCCAACACGCTCTACGCCACTTTTTTTATTACCATGTGTTAGTACACTATAAACCTAACCCTAACTCAGCCTTTTTCATCTTTTTTTTTTTTTTTACATTACATGTTGCTGCGTGATGGATTAACATGCTACCTAACTCATTTTAATCGGTCTATTGTAAGTCTACTGATTTTCTTATACTGTGTCTTTTTGTCAGTGCTCAGTCCTGGTAGCGTGATACTGTGCTGAATGTGGTTCATCTGTACGAATTTTATTTGCCCGGTTACAAAAATATTGAAAGAGCGTTCAATAATAACCAATTACAAAACCAATTAGTTAATTCCTAAGTTCGTCACTTTTTAAACTTAGTTACATATCACGAAGTTGACGATCTCTGGAGAAGGTCTGTTTAGTTCTGAGCGAGAAATTTAAATTCGTAACAAGTTGTTAGATAAATTATTATACTTGTCACAAGACATTACTATTAGGCCCATTATATTTTAAACACTACATAATGAATGTAGTTTAAAAAAAAAACATTTATACTCCAGATATATATATATATAATAAAGGAACTTTATTTCAACCAACGTTTCGCCTTTGCAGCTAGCTTCATCAGGGTTAGTATATACAACTGTTTTTTTCTAAACTTTTTATCAAAATGTATAAATCTCTCCATTACGCACTACAAATTTTGAAAAACAACGAAGAATGTAGTGTTTAAAAATATAATAGGCCTACAACTAATGTCTTATAACAATTGTGATAATTATAATCATGCTTCGCCAGCTTATAAATGACGTTCACACCATAACAACTGTTCGGTAAATAATTAACACATGGAAACTGTTACGTACAGTAAGAGCACTAAAAATTAAATGTCAAAAACGAAACATCATAACATTATTCACATATCTAAATTAATTTAGGTTATTATACGATAAAGTAAAACGGACTCAAAACCCACAGATAAAAATCAAAATCGTTACAGAGAACCAAACACACACACAAAAAAATGTCCATGCAAAGTTTCGACTGTCTACTTAGGTCATCATCAGGTCATTATATTAACGAACACATTTCTTGAATGGGTGGTCACAAAGCAAACACACAATGTTTGGTACTATATTATTCATTTATTGTAAGTCTTATTCGTCTATAGCTTGGATAAAATTTCACAAACAAACGAAAACACTAACTGTCAGATCTTACAATTTTACATCAAGCCTAATTCTGATACCTGAAGTAGGCTTAATAGTAAGCAAGCTCGTAAGCAATTTTGTGTGACGAAACATTATAGCTTTACAAAATTGATGTTTTTTAACTATGGCACTGGCTGTGATCTATATAAATATAAAATAAAATTGAAATGCTATTAAGGCTAAGTATTATAGGCCTACTTTTTTCTTAATTGAAACTCATACTGGCTCAGTTAGGGCAAAGCGTTAAAAATGAGCACAAGTTAATCATAATATTTCACTGTACTTAGTTCCCTAAAGTTAGGACTAAATCTAAAGGCAAACACCTAATCAGAAACAACAAAAGGCTAATCTGTTGTAATTAAAGGGTTTAAATCAAACAGACTAATACAACTCGTACTTATCTCACCTTACTGCAGAACGTAACAGTTTACAAACACGCTGTATAATATATATACACACACACACTTAGCAGCCAGTAGAACTTAACCAACGTAACTTACGACATACTAAAGCTACAGGGTAAATGCTACATTATAATACAATATTTATACTAGACAGAGCTCTTCTAAGGATAAAAATTAACACCTGAATTATCCTTTTAATAAGATGTACAAGTGAAGAAAACAGTGTAGAGGCTATTTTTTCTTCACTTTTTTGTGTTAATTTTGACTTATATGAAAGCTGAGGGTCTGTCGAGTTATTTCAGCATCAACATATTTCGTGCCATAATATGTTAATTCTGAAAGTACAGGAGAGAATAACTGATAGTAATGTTTACCTTTGGTGCTATTCTTTCATCAGCAAACGACTAACCATAATATTCATGTCAAACCTAAATCATATTTTCAATAAAAAACGTTTCAAACTTCAATTTTTTAAGTATATGAAGTACATCATTTTACAATTAAATATCGTTGTTTGATAAAATATGACGCACGACCCAATCCCAGTCATTATTACGTTTTTATTTTTTGTACTTATTAGAGAAGAATTATGACTGTGAAGCTAGACCTTTAATATAACATTAGCTAGGCCTATAATATAACATTAGCTAGGCCTATAATATAACATTAGCTAGGCCTTTAATAAATAATAATTAGAATTTGTTTATACCTACAGGAAAAAAAAATGTAATTTTCTTAGTGTCACTATTCAGCTCCTTAATTTTTTTTTTAGTTTTATAAGTATATGTGGCTAATCAAGTATAAACAAACTAAATTTGAAATTGGCCTGAAAATTAAACTTGCAGTTATATCACTGCCTACCTAGTCATATAAGATGTCACATACCCTTGTTGAAACATCCCTTTTAACACTTTTTATATGCAAATAAAATTATTAAACATACCATACTCCACATCAAAATCATGCTTTAGAAATAATATTTATCACAGAAAGCAGAGAATGTAAAGTAACAAATGAAGCAGACAACATCACCTAAGACGGAAGGCACTTAAATTCATAACTGTTGCTAAATCCTAAATGTTAATGGTAATCGTAAGAAGTGTTAGTGTTTCAATTATTTCTTTAGCATGCAATAAACAACAATGTTTGAAATATTCCATGAAAACAAAGAGAATGAACATGAGTATTACTGGTGACAAAAAAATAAACAAAACACTTGTTTTTCTATAGTTGACTTGGTTGAACTCCTGATAAACTAGGAAAAAAAAATACAAATATGATAGAAACACGTACATGTGAGGCTCAGTACAATTTTTTTTATATAATACCCACTTACTGACTAAAGAGCTGTGACTTACAGATTATATATTTCTTAGCACATCTACACATATGTATAAATCTTGAAAAACTTTCTATGAAGTACAACATAACTGTACTCTTAAAACACACAATCTCTTTTAAAAGTTTCTAATCTTAACAAGACAGTTACAAAAATACAAATATGTATAATTAAAAACTTAAAATATGACACTGTTGTACTTAGTAAGTTTTAAGCTTCTACTCATTTTATGCTGTATTAATTTGTTTTACAAGACACTGTCAGTGTAAGTGTCAAAACAACATTACATAAAAGGCTTATTTGCCTCAATAGCCAATCCTGTCTACGAACATGTTGCCTTAATGTTAACAAGTTTATCGCATAAAATGAATCTACTAGAACCTAAATATATATATATATATATATATCCAAAAATATTAGTAATACACTGAAGCTTACTCATCATTATGGACATATTATTATCATTATTATACACATCTAGGAACACTAAATGAAAAACAACAAAACCAGTTTCAGTATATGTATAATATATATAAACATACACACATCAAATACTCTGCTAGACAACTAATGCACTAAGACTAGAGGTTTTAAAGCACCGTTACTTGTGTAATAATTCCTAAGCATTGTTATGAAAAATGACACTTTTTTTTAATTGTAGTATCTATATAGTGACGAACCAGTCATCTTGAACTTGTTAACTTTCCAGCTCAAACAGATGCATGAAGAACCATTTATCATGTTGACTAAGCTGAAATACAGTACACACACAGAAAAAAAAAAAACAATGTTGCAGTATGCACATTGGGAGGAAGTCAGAAGCACTTGATTGGGAAGATTTGTTTGAAGGGATATGTTACAGTTGTGTCATGAGTAACATCAGGTTTAAAACAGTAAATTCACACAAATTATTACCGAAAAGAGACTCAAGAAAAAAAATAATTAAAGATTAATATGCCATTTTTATGGTTCACATTATATTTTAAAGCATCACTAAAGATACAAAAAAATTTGTTAATTAGGAACTATTTATTCTAATGTATGAATCCGACTGCAAATCGGTTCTGTTTTGTATAAATATCTAATACTCTAATAAACGTGTTCTTACACTGCAGCCAGGTAGAGTCAATTACACAGAAGTTTTATGGATCACTTCATATTTTAAATCATCGCTAAAGATACAAACAAAGTTATAGTGTTTATAATGAAAGTAATGTTTGGATCTTCAACAAAAATAAATGGTAATTAATGTTGAACTTCCTGAAAAATTTAAAATAAGAACAACTACACATCTCACGTGCTAACTGAACAATTTGATAATAAAACATTGCTAACGGTAATTTTTACAACATTTTAAATTCACTACTTAAGTTATTATTTTAATATTGTACACGGGAATATCGGATTAAGGTAATGATTTAGGTTATAGATTATTTTTTTTTACAAACTTTAAAGCTTTGCCGATTACCAATTACACAAAAGAGTAAAGTTTAGGATCTAAAGTTAGCAAGTTATCAGATTAACTGAAGTTTGAAAACACATATAAAACGCACCCGATACGACTGGTAAAGTTATGAATTTTGTTTTCTTTATAGACGAGTTTCTTCAGTAACTGAATTGCTTCTGTATTTATCAGGTGGTGGAGGTTCTCCATAAATAAGGGGTCTTATTGGTGTGATGTTTTCAAGTGTGTCTGTATTAGCTGTAGTAAATGAGGAGAGATCTTCCAAAGATGCAGAACTTAAGCTTTGGGAGGTATCGTAGAACACGGACAAAGATCGATTTCCTGGAGAACTGTATCTTCTTCCCTGGAGATCTGTTTGAACCTTATCATCATACAGCCAGAACTGGGTGAGCATGTTTGCTTCAGAATTTCTTGCAGTGGGCAGCTTTGTAACCTGATTTGAAAGACTTTTGACTTGTGTTTGAGAAGTAAAATTAAAGTCGTCTTCATCCGAACTATCAGCAAAGGATATCAACGCCTCAGGACTATCCTTTACAGAAAGGGTACTTATGTTATCTTCTGTTAGTGTTAATGTGATATCGTTTATGTCAATACTTTTATTGTCTGCATTATCTGATAAATTGTATGTTTTGTATTCTTCTGTAGTTTTTACAGACTTTTTCACTTCTGATGTGTCTGGTATTTCTGGTGGTGGCACAGATGGTCGATCTAATCGACTTCTATTTGGAACTCCTGGTGATGGACATTTAAATTTATCTATGCGAGCATGTGCTGGTAGTTTAGGTGGGCGAGTTGTGACAACCTGTTGATGTGAACCGAACTGGTAAACAGATGAAAATGTTTGTCCTTCCTCTTCATTTAAGGATGGACGTTTGTCTGAAACGAGACTTCTCAAACTGCCATGGGATCCCCGTTTAATAATGGAATTGGACTTGCTTGAAACCCACACAATGTCCTTAGGTAGTGTTGATGCAGGTCTGTTGTCTCTGATGGATTTCATTAGTTGTTCTTCAGTAACAGAAAGTGTTCTTTCCAATTTTGGTATAAACAAGGGTCTTTCTTGACTAGGGCCTTGCACTCTATCCTTATTGAACTTATCTAGGCCAGCTTTTACCATCTGGTTACTTTGTCGTTTTGTTGGTCGAAAAAGTGATCTTAAGCTGACGGACGTAGGACTAGTGTTTTGACTATGAAAAAGAAAAACAAGTAGACACAAATCCAACAGGGTTCTCATCATCATATTACTTTCGTTTATTACTACCGTATTTCGTCGAATAAACTGGTATATTGCATTAGATAAAAAACTATAATGTTTTCCAAAAAGAAAAGATTGTTGGTGTAGATTTACCTCAGATAAAGGCGTCATCATCATCATCATAACTAGAAATACAATATTATTTAAAGACTGTCTTGAACAGCAGTGAAAATTAATCTTGAATGCTACACTTTACTGTTTTAACCTACAATAAAAGAGAATGTTGGGACATCACCAAATAATTTATTTTTGTGAAGAATATGATTGTTTGTTTGTTTTGAATTTAGCGCAAAGCTACACGAGGGCTATCTGCGCTAGCCGTCCCTAATTTAGCAATTTAACAATATTCCTACTGATCTTTTAAGAAGACTAGAGCGAAAGGCAGCTAGTTATCACCACCCACCGCCAACTCTTGGGCTACTCTTTTACCAACGAATAGTGGGATTGTCTGTCACATTATAACACCCCCACAGCTGAAAGGGCAAGCATGTTTGGTGGGACGGGGATGCGGACTCACGATCCGCAGATTGCGAGTCGAGCATCCTAACCACCAGGCCCGAAGAATATGATAAAATTCAAATATGCTTTGTCCATTCCAAATTTTCTTGTAAGAAAAAAAAAAATTGAAGATTTTGAGACTTACGGTTCAAAAGTATCAACTTTATCTGAAGTTTTTTAGTTTTTTTTCTAAGCTATTTTGAAAGATTTGAAATAGAACTTCAGATAAACCTTAATTTTGTTTTCCATCCCAAATGGTAATATATTTTAAAATTAACACAAGTTAAGGAGACTAAATGTTTAATTGGTTTCTAAAATTACATAATGCTGCCTCTAAACCTTACTCACAAAGAGCTATAAAAACGTAAGTCATAATTTAATGTTTCATTACGTATTCAAATAAAATTTGTTGCTTTGAGTAGCGCATTGTTCACACAACTGAGCACTTCTGTTTAACACAAAAAATACACAAGTGTATCATATGCCTAGACAAAACAAACAACTAACATAAAAATAATATACCACACCTCTGTTCAGTTGTATTACCACAGGACTCTCCATTGATGACTTGCTTTTCAGTCGAGTGTATAGATTTTTCAGCCAGGGTTGGGGTAACAGGGACTGACGGTGATGTCAATATAAACTCAACTTCTGTAAACAATAAATCAGTTTTTTTATTTTTATATTAGAGTAGCTCAGGAAAAGGTATTTCATGCCTAATAAGTTCTGTAACCGATCTATACCTGCTAAATCAAAAGAAAATAATATAGCTACAGATTTTAAGGACCGTTATAAAAACGTAAAATATTGATTTCTGTATAAAATTTTAAAGATTCTTGAATAAAAAGGGATATTTTTATATCATTCCTTGAAAAAATCCTAAACCAATCTGTATATGCTATGTCAAATATCTCTTTGATTATTTATTTATGCTTATGCGACTCGAGATTTTTGATCAAATGATTTGTTTTAATCATTAAATAAAACTTTATAATGAAAGTGTGAATTTTTTACGTTTCTCTGTGTAGTATATAAAGTTTATAAGTTAAAAAAAAAAAAAGTGACATCAACAATTAGATAAGAAACAGACGTTCAAGTTAAGAGACGTACATTGAATTTTATGATCTTTTCCGTTCAATATGTTTTCCTACGTCATCTAAAACAATCTTTTCCACTAGCCACCCAAAAGACTTAGTTTATTCAACCTTATGGGAACATAGAAGCTAAACAGACAGGTCAGAGACCTCTTATATTTAGGCATAGCTAACCAGATTGAGGGTAATCAGTCGAGCAGTATTTGCTGCTTATGCAAATAGTGGGATTGACCATCACAGTCATAATGCCCCTCCCACATATGAATGTCGTATCATTGCTCTAGCTTTGGACCTTCTGATACACAGCCCTGGCACATTATACTTATAACCACAGGCCATGCCTTGACTCAGCAGAAGTAAGGAAAATAAGACTTCTATGATAATACATCAAAGAATGGCCTTTATCCATACTTTAACAACAAGTAAACCAGAGATTCAACCAGTATTCAACATAAAAGTTGGTCCCTCAATAGAAGTTACCTATTCAGACTTGATAAAAATCTGTGGAAGAAGGGTGAAACACCCTCTCCACCAAAGTATAATGTTGGATGAATTGTGCTCACCTTACAAGATCAATTATAATCCTCCACCTCCAGCTTTTATAAACAACATTATCATACATTTTTAGCTGTAATACGAGTTACAATAAAACAAATTTTTAAAATTATCAGATTGGACAAAGAGTCACACTTTAAACAGATTCGGATACATGGCAGAACTATTTTCTACAAATTCCAGTAATTGTTTAACAGCCTTTTTTTTTCAATTTCTACAGGTAAACAAATGGGTCATGCTTCATGTTGCTACAGTCTATTACTGGTTAAGAAACGTATCACATTTCAGTCTATGACACCACTACTAGCCAAAATAAGCTCTTTTACTTATCTTATAAAACAATATATCAATATTTTGTGTTCTTATGATTATTTACTATCACCATATTCTCTGTGTAACATTTCCTGAACCCGCTGTATTGGGGATACTTTTTGTTAATTGTTCGAAATACCACACACACACACACACACGTTCAGTCTCAAGTTATATGAAGTTCACATATTTAATATTTCTCAATTTGTACTTGTACTTATGGACATATAAGGGGAAAACACCCATACGTATATGATTTATCATGCTTTACATATTTAGGCATAACCAATGTTTAGGTATATATTGATGGTCAGAATTAGATATCTGTTTTAACTTCCTTTTGCTTTAAAAATAATAATAATAATATAGATATACTAACTTTTCCATATATACATATAAATAAATAAATAGCTCTAGTATAATCAGTTACATTGGCTGTCAACAGGCAATTAAATCAGCATCATAAAACAGTAATGAACTTAATATAAAACAAATATTACAACAGAACTAAAATTAAACAATTATCTTCCATTGTCAGTCAACATCAAGTCATAACGGATAATATTTGTGGTCAGAGCACCCAAATGTGTTCGGGATATTCCATCTATCGGACAAAATCCAGATGTTGATGTTAAACTAGCTAGCGGTTACTGAAAATTAGTCAAGGGTCAGCAATTGAGTGCTTACACCCACAATGTCTCAACTCCTACTGCCTTTCGATGTCTGCAGCCAGTTGTGGGAAGGCAGTTATCCTTAATAATCAGACATAATCTTAAAGTAGAAATAAATCCACCCTAAAATTCTACAAGATAAAACTTCCAATCTCCACTCTTTTATTTACAAAACGATGTTAAACCAAAGTCCGTTATGACTTAATGTTGACAATTAGAGCTGTCTGTTATGACTTAATGTTGACAATTAGAGCTGACTGTTATGACTTAATGTTGACAATTATAGCTGTCTGTTATGACTTAATGTTGACAATTATAGCTGTCTGTTATGACTTAATGTTGACAATTTGAGCTGTCCGTTATGACTTAATGTTGACAATTTGAGCTGTCCGTTATGACTTAATGTTGACAATTAGGACTAATAGAAAATAACTGTTTAATTTTAGTTCTGTTGTAACGTTTTATACATATATATATATAGTTTAACTTCCCCTGACAGAATCATACTTAAAGTATCTTTTAATATGTAATCCCCCTCGTGCTTAAAAATGTTAAGATTTTCAAATTGATACATTCAGAAAGGAATATTGAGCTCAAGTTAAAAAGGAAAAGCAGAAATTAGGTTCGAGTAATTGAAGATCAGCAAACATGTACTCAGCGAGTATACTAGTGGTAAAAAAAAAGGGGCGTAAACGGTTGGTGGATGTACATAATAATGGAAATCATGTTTTGGTTCCAATAATCAGTTTTAAGCTACCATAGAGGGAGTAGTTAATCGCCGAACAAGGTAAGACGAATTGCTATTTATTATATACATTACCTATGTAGGCCTAGCTAATAAACATAGTACGGCAGTAAAATTCATTACTGCATAATAAAAGTACTTACCTTCTTGAAAAAACCAATCAGCATAAGTTACTAAAGTGTCCACTATAGCACTATGATTGTTTGCCGCTGTCATGTTCATGCTAAAATACAAAAGACAGTTTGAAACTAAAATATAAGTTATATATATATTTTGATTACTTGTTTGATGCATTTTGAAACACAATATTGACAAAAAACCTCACAATATAGCTTTGTCACTGAAGTCACCTTTGAACTACACAATCTTTAAGACACATAAATGGAGGATGGACACAGTACTTTAACTGTTGAGAATAAAATTTCTATTTGATCGGTGTTTCAGTATCTTGCTCATTAATAACTAACTTTCCGATATAAAAAGTAAGTTTCGACACAGAATTAGAATCATTTCAATATATCCAATTTTATGTACACCCTACTTATAAAGAAACACGAAAAAATCTAGAATACATCTAACAAATAATGTTTCTAAACAGTAACAGAACTTCGAAGTAAGTTATTTTCTGTTATGGTTCAGAGTGAAGACGACGATGAAATGTTCAATACACGTTTCAAAACACAATTGTGCACATGCATGGTGGTTAAGTCACATACTACTCAACCAGACTTTCCTAAAGGGTTGTTTCTTATCATATATCAACTGTCTAATCAGGCTTTTTATGAAAATTGTTTAGTAATTCTTCCCAGTCTGAAAAAATATATCAGCTGATGATAACTTGCAGTTAAAAGAAAAAGGATGAGATAATGATCATTCTTCTTCAGTTCACACATGATGAAACTTTGAATACATCTACACATACAACATTTGTTAGTTTATACAGTCAAGCCTCCAAGTGCAGTACATACAACATTATTTGTAACAGATCGTGGAGACTTGTACTCATTAATAACTAACTTTCTGATATAAAGAGTAAGTTCACAACATAAGAATGGGAATTTCTATCAGCCACCTGGTGAAATGTTGCCAACAAACTAAACAAAAGTTTTATTATGTACTACTGATAAAAAGCTTGTGTAACATTCAAAAATGTTTCATTACAATACTACTTACCTAAAGTGCTGAAACTCATCAGGAACCCATATCAAGTTTGGTGCCATGACAATAGCTATGTTCTGTGGGGTCATTCTATTAACATCTGAAGTCGATGCCAGCTTGGATAAGAACTTAATCAGGTACCTGAAAAGTCAGAAAGTTCGATGAAATAAACTTCATAAATATGTAATTTTTCTGTAACACTTTCATGTGATATGACAGAAAACAACACACATTACATACAGAAGTTTTAAACTATCATTAGAGGGTTCTCCACTCAAGAAAAATACTATACACCTGGAAAAAAGTTAAGCACCCTCAAATATTTTTCAGGAT